TTGTCTGCATATAAATAATGTGTTAGAACAGGAAAGAACAAAGATGAATAATATAGAGAAACACGCAAAGACAGATACCTCCCCAACATTTTTTTCTCCTTGTTTCTTATTTGTAGTCATTAGGCAAGTGAATGTTTGTGCTACGCCATTGTGTAGATGGGACCTACATGACTGAATGCACCTCTGTTTTTTTTTAATCCCTTCCCAGGATTAAGCAGGAAACAATAAATCAATTATTCTGCCTCATTCATGCAAGTTTTTAGGCGCATCTCAGAAGCATCGTCTCCAATTTATACACTTCTGTCATTTCCCACAATTATTATTTTCAAATAGTCCACTGAGGGGAAAAAGTGAAACAACTCTAGGAGGTCTTTAGATTGATAACATTTGGAATTCTCTATTTAGAACAATTCAGGTATCAGAACAATGGGTTTTAGCCCTATAGTCTTCTTTTTCCTTTTATATATAGACATTGTGTGTTTGAGACCATGCATGTGGAGCCCATAACAGGAACTGAGTGAGTAGTCCATGTGTACATATACAGAGTAATATAATTACACACCTCTCCTACTTTGCTGATTTCGCCTGATAAGAATAATATAGGCTAGTGAAACTCCTTACGCTATTGACATTTTTACTTCACAATTCTTAGAAGCAGCTTGAAGGCAATCCATGGTCAGAGTTTGGAACAGATGGATCTGGAGATTTGGAAATATTTAAAATAATTAATAAGTCAATTTATTGCGGAATTTCTTGTATGAGTATGTTTGGTTTCTGTATACCCTTCAGAGACTGTGGTAGTGAATGGTTTAGGAAACTAATAAATGAATATATATTTTACGAATTTGAAATATTTTGCATATTTCTGATCCATAATTGTCTTTGTGGCAAGAACAAGTGCAGAAAACTGCTGCCTGAACCTGAGCTACTGGAATTCCTACAACAATCATCTCTTCTCAATGGATTCCTAACTCCCTACAAAAGGAGTTGAAGAAAGAAAGAAAGAAAAGGCCAGGAGCCTAGTAGATTTGTCGGCTAATGAAGTAAATATGGAAACAAATTCCTACCAATTTTACTCATGTTCTTTCCACTACTGAAAGGAAGCTGTTAAATTATTAAACCAGCATTAACCTTGTGGGACTTGAAACCCAAGAGCCAGGAAAAAAAATGAGACAAGAGTTCCATCCAATGGTGACATGAAGTTACAGCAACTTAACTGTAACGTTAAATGCTGACTTAATACCTGCCCTTTTTGAGATTTCAATTAAAGTTAAACCATGTCTGAACTGGGAATAGCTTTTCCTTGCTGCTAATATCATGAGAATAGAAATTGAGGGCCCCTTTCAAGTTCGCACAGATTATACAAAGAATGACCTAAATAGTACTGATTTTGATGTTTTACTGCAGAGAAGAGCAAACTTCAAATTTCTACATTTTTAAATTACTACTCTTGGAACCCCAAATTTAATCAACTGATGCAAGGGGCAAAGAGTTGCAGAAGTCAAGCACCCACATAGCAAATTTAAGGAGCATTCTACCTTAGAGCACAGAGCAGAAATCAAGATGATGCTTCCATTACTAAAATTGACTCTGGTGTTCCTTCCTTCTTTTTTTTTTAAATTTCAGCAGTCTAATTTGCAGAAGGAAAAAGCCTTTAGTTAATTGGGTGGGATTTGAAAACCTTTACAGATCTATTATCAATCACCCAAGATTTCAGCAAGTGTGAGTCTGCTTTCTATCTGCCTCTGCTTTGGTTTATTCGGTTTTTTGTTCATTTTTATTTTAGAGCAATCGTTTTCCAATTGTTCTGGGGAATGTGCGGGAATGTTCCTCTAGACTAGAAAAAGAAACATCCTGCTAAGAACAACTTTTCCTCCACTGCTGTTTTTCAACTGCAATGAAAGTCATTGTTCAGGGACTTCTTAGTTCGTGTGATAAAAACTTTGGCCCAACAGGACTGCTCATCCTTTTGTATAGATGGAACCCATGCATCAGAGCATTCTCCAGATCCCCTCTTATATGTATGTGTTTTTTAATAGAAAAGTCAGTGCTTGCATAATGAGCTTTGACAAAAAAAATGGATTGCTCCCTTAAGATTCAAACCTCATCAAAAGACTTTTTCAATGTTTTACAAATTATAAAATGAATGAAATACAATATCATCTACTGCAGTCTAAATTATCCAGGTGGAATTCTTTCTCAAACTGCCTTTAAAATAACTAAAATAGTTTGCTGATTTGCAAACTATTTCCACAGGGAAACAAACGGCAGAGTTTTTTGTTATAGAAAACTTAAAATACTAGAGACAAAATACACAATAGATGAAGAATGTAAACTGCAACTGTTCTCCCATCTTGCAGAACAAGGAGAAAAATTCAATCCTTCTTCCTATGCCGTTTGGCTGTAAAATTTACACCTGCATAGTAGTAATTTCAATACAAATCAAATCACCTGGTACTAATGAAAAATTAAAAATAGGGCTGTGGGAGTAGCAACATATTTTCCACACACAAGGCTTGAACAAAAGCCACCTCACTTAGTAGATCACTATCATTTTGTCTTGAGTTCTTTCTGTCTTTTCCAAGTAGAGGCATGTATACAGTAGATGCCTGGCTGAAAATACTGAGAAAAAGAATGGTCCAAAGAATGGAGCAAGAAGTATTTGAAGGATACAAGAGCATTCAAGGTTGCTTAGGACATGCAATTTGTTGGTACAGAATCTGATAGTACTTTAACAAAAAGAAAGTTTTCAATGTTTTTATATAAAACAGAATTCCAGAACTTCTTTGTACACCTATGCACATTTCTTGGACAATGTCAGAAATTCAATAGAATAAAAGGGGTATCAATTGGTATGTGGTTGAAGGAAAGTATCTTCATCTCAACTGTATAGAACTGGCAATAAATTCAAGCAATTCCCACCCCTTCTCCTTTTACTAAATTAATTCAGTTTCTATACTGAACATAGAATTAACATATGAAAAGCAGGTGCTATCCGAATTACTTGTGGCAGCCATTAAGTTCAAAAAAAATTAGACACATTATACAGATGACGTTTCTCTCTATAGTTTTTACTAAATGAAATCCATTTTCATAAATGCTTTACCTTAGAAAAGCTATACAGATGCTGGGAACAAACTATAGCAAGAATACGCTGGATTTCATGCCCTTCTAAGTATCCACAGGAATCTAATTAGCCACCGTTTCTTAAAGAAGGCTGGATTATGACACTCTTGGTCTAACCCAGTAAGTCAAGTTTATCATCCTGAAGGAATGGTTGTCCATACCAAATGACTCAAATTCTGCATGTGAATCATATGAATGTTATGGTCCAAAATTTATTTCAAAACTATAGGTGCACGTCTACGGACATTGAATTTTGAATGTTTTCTGCGTTAAGAACTTATACACAGAACATTAAGGAAAAGCTCATTAGAACTTTTTAATTTAATGAAGCTTAAGATTTTTTGCAGCTTTTACATTTGTGTAAATATTCAAATGTTTCCTTATTTATTTAATCTGTGATTACCCTGAATTTGTAAAAGATTCTTTGTCATTTATAATAAATTAGTCTCTCTGTTCCTGAAGTCTGAAATGGTGCAGCCAATAACAATGTTGTACTATGCAATTTATATGGACATGCGGTATTAGTCTTGTTTGGATTTTGAACAGCTTTCAGCTAATGGGAGTCCTGATCGCTATGGTTCTTATTAAAAAGCTAGTTTTTTTGATCCAGGATTGCATGACAATAACCTACAGAATTTTACTGATTTTACTTTTAATGATAAGGTACAGTAATAGATTTTACATTTTACAGCTTTTCCTTGCATTTCTGCCTCAACTGCCAGTATAACAGTATCAAAGTCTTGATTGCTATGACTGGTAAGTAAAGCAGGATGAACAAAAGATCTCAAAAAAAACCACAACCCTGTGTTATTCTTAACTAATCAGAAAACATACAATAACTTTTATGTTTTGAATACAGTATGTATTTCTCAGTAGCAACCATTGAAGCTGAGTTTTAAAAGCAGGGAATTTACCGAATATGGACAAATGTCTTCTTTCTAGGGGATGAATTTGAAATTTTCTTATATTTTATGTATAAGCAATTCGCAAATGTATTCCTATCTGATTATATGGCTGACTGTACAGCTGCTAAGCATAAATTTCTACCACCAACAAAAATGGAAAGAAATCTGACTTGAGTCCATGAATAATAAGTACACTGAAGTGTGGAGGCAAGTTCAACGCAAGCTATCTGACTGAAAATAGCCAGCTACAAATCAGAACTTTCCAAGAAAATCAGTTTCAAAGGTTATTTATTGCATTTCCAAAGCCAGCAGAAAGCATTCCAACAGAAGTGAATCATTGACTCCACATTTATTTCTCCAAATGAACTTGTGAGTCACTGAAAACTTGACATTGAGGGGTATTAAGCATACACCTACTAGTTATTCATAATATTGCTAATAATTGGGCTAGGTAAAAAAAAAAAAAAGGAAAAGAAAAAAGCTGACTACCTACTGAGGCTATTGCTACAACAGGTTATTTTGTAAAGAGGGAGCTCACAAAAGAAAAAGTGGAGGAAAGTTAACAGGAATGGGAAAGCACACAAAAAGGTCTAACAAGTTGCAATTGTCTTTGGTTTTAATAGGTGGTGCCGTTTCATAGCTCACAGCACGGAAGGGTCCCTTGTATCTTCTCAACACCCCCACCGATGCAGCGGAGTCACTAGCTTCATACTGTATAGTAGTGCATTCGCTTCACAAAGTTAAATCTTTACACCAGCCCTGTATTGTGGACACCTCCATTGTCCCGTTCCTCTTACAGACTTAAATAATGGCGCCGATTGGCATATCGATGTGCAGTCGCACCGAATGAACACCACAAACCTCCTGCCGGGGCAGGGTAACCTGCTCATGATGGTGATCTAAGCCCAAGGGGAAGGTAATACAACCGTAGATCTCCCCGTCCCCCTACCCTGCCCTGCCCTCTTCCCCCCCCCCAACGGAGTTCCTCCTTGGCTTCAGATGGCCGAAACGAACCTTTCCATGTTACTGGGGTAAGTGGTGTGGCGCAGGTAGGCTCCGGGACTACTGAGCTGCCCACTGGCATTATACCCGTGAGCCAAAGAGCTGTAGGAGCTAGGCGACATCCTGCCATAGAAATCCATGGTGTCATTAGTGATGGGGGATGAGGTAGGCACTCCTAGACGGGCAGAAGCCCCAAAGAGGTTACTGTTGCTGCTCTGGGAATAAGAGCCTTGGTTAACCTGGAGCTGCTGGGCACTGGGGATGGCGTAAGAGTAAGGCATGGTGTTGTGGGGCCTGCCTAGGCCGGAGGCTGCGGTGCAGGCTTGGTTGGAGTAAGCAGCGGAGGCAGCAAAGGAGCAGGCATTGCTAGGAGAGGAGTTTATGTCCACGCTATGCTGCTGCACCAGCTCCGGGCTCGGCTGGGCCATGAGGGGCCCCAGGCTGAAGAGGGGCGGCTGGGAAGGGTAGCAGAGAGCAGCAGGAGGGGCGTAGGCCGAGCTCAGCGAAGGCCCGACGGGCTGGGCCGGCGCCTCGTGCATGTAGGCGGGATAAGTGGAAAGGTCGCTACGCTTGAAGCGCTTCCTGCGGCGCAAGAAGCTGCCGCTCTCGAACATGTCGCGGGCGTGAGGGTCGAGGGCCCAGTAGCTGCCTTTGCCCGGCCGGCCGGGCTCTCGGGGCACCTTAACGAAGCAGTCGTTGAGCGTGAGGTTGTGGCGGATGCTGTTCTGCCACTTGCGAGGCCCGTCGCGGTAGAAGGGGAAGCGTTCGGTGATGAAGCGGTAGATGCCGCCCAGGGTCAAGCGGCGCTCCGGAGAGTGCGCGATGGCCATGGCGATGAGCGCGATGTAGCTGTACGGGGGTTTCCCGCGCTGGACCGGCCGTTTCCTGCGGCGTCCGATAGGCCGCGAACCTCCCATCGCCCCCACGTCTTCTTCCGACGGCTCCGGCTCCAGGGCCTCTCCTGGGGCTGCCGGCTCCATCTTCACCAGCGCGGGAAGCCTGGAGGCGGCTTCGGCCTCGGCGTCGGGCCGGCTGACCGCGCAACCCGTTGGCTGAGGGCTTTCGGCCGTCATCTCACGCTCTGCCTCCGCTTCCGACGGCGATGCAGGTTGCAGGCAATCAACGGGCAACTTCGAGGACTGGGGTGCGCCAGCCTCGCTGTCCCTGGCTGACGTCCGGAGGAGTATCTTCAAAGCAGCCCCGGCCTCGCTCTGGATCTCAGGATCTACGAGCGCGAGTGCCGGTGGGATTGCGAAGAGAGCAGCTGCGGAGTCCTCTGTGTTTGGGCGCCGGGGCTGGAGAACTTCTGGGAGAAATCTCGGGCGATGATGATCCCCCCAAGAACCTTCAACCTCCTGGGCAGCGTAACTCCGCGACGCCCGGCAGACCTAAAACGAAGCCGACCTTCGAGGACCGGCATGGCAACGCGCCTTCAGACCACCCATGGCTTGTCGGCTCAAGCGAAGCGTCGGGGGGGGGGGGGTCCTGGGGTCGGGGGGGGGGAAGCGGTCCCGAAATACCTGCCGGGTTCCAGCGATGGAGAGAAGCGACGGGACGACCCGGCGGGAAACGACCTCCGAAGACGTCGCTCCTCCGAGGCTGGAGATGAGAGGCGCTACGGAGAAGGCTTGTAGGGGAGACCTGAGATCCCCGCTTCTTTCAACCGCCTCTGGAAGAGCACCGGGCGCACCTTGCCCACTTTGCAGCAGGAGACCAGTTACCCTCTGGAGCTGCTTGCGCTCTCTCTGCAGCTAAGCACCTTCCAGCAGTCGTGCCTTAAAGGGACGGGTGGAGACAAGCTTGCCCGAGCAGCTTCTCCTGAGAATGCCGGGGGCGCAGCAAACCCACAGGCCTTTGCTAAGAGGGTTTTGTGGAGGGAGGGGCCTGGCCCAGGGCGGGCAGGAACCGGGAGGGGTTATGCCGTCGGGAAGAAGAGCGGGCGAGCCCGGCTGCCAAGGTTTCCCCGCCTTAGAAGAGCCCAGCCGAGAGACGCCTCAAGTTAGTGACAGCCACCCGTGGGCGTCCGGGGCAAAACCTGGTGAAAGGAGCTCTGCGGGGCCTTCTTCGGGCGGGTCGAGGGTCACGGGAGTGGGACGCTGCCCTCTCAAGCAGCGGGACATTGAAGGGACAATTTCCCCGCAGGCTGCAGCAGCAAAAAAAAAACACCAAAAAAAGCCCATCAAGTGGCCCATCTTGTGGATTGTGTGTTGTCGCTGGGGAGGGTGGATGGGGGTATTTTTTATATATTTTATTTATTTATTTTTATACTGTATTTTTACTGCCTTTTATACTGTGTTTGATACTGTATATTAATGCATTTTATATTGTATTTTATATTGTATTTTAATGCCTTTTATACTGTATTTTAATGTCTTTTATGCTGTATTTTATACTGTATTTTAATGCCTTTTATACTGTGTTTTATACTGTATATTAATGCCTTTTATACTGTATTTTAATGCCCTTTATACTGTGTTTTATACTGTATTTTAATGCCTTTTATACTGTATTTTATACTGTATTTTAATGCCTTTTGTACTGTATTTTAATGCCTTTTATGCTGTATTTTATACTGCATTTTTACTGCCTTTTATACTGTATTTTTACTGCCTGTAAGCCGCCCAGAGTCGCTGTGAGCGAATGGGTGGCCATATAAATTTCCCCAATAAATACATTTCCCAAATAAAATAAGGTTCCTTTTGCGCTGGAAGCAGCCAGGAGGCTGAGATGGTTAGCTTGCTTGTTCGTGTCTGTCTACAGAATTCCATGCCACCCTTGTTGCTTTGGGGGTCTTGGTTTAGAAGAAGATGCTGTACCAAATGGGGAGGATGGTGGCCCCCTTTCACTAGTGGGGGGATCTCGGATTCCTAACACAGCAAATCACAGCAGGGAAACTAGAAAAGGTGCCTGTTCTCTGTATTTCTCTGTGAAATGTGTCTGACTCTGCTCAGCAGGATAATAGCCAAATTAGTGTGCAGTGATATATGAAACCTTAGACCAACAGCCTTGCATCTACTTATCTGAAATATTCAGCCTCACTGAATTTAGTGGAACTGAATAGACCCTCTTCTTTTGTTTGCTGAGCAGCCCTTCTATTCTCCTGCAACTTCTTGATCAGGCCTTCCACAACTGGTTGCTTTAACCAACTCAGTCTCAGTTGCTGAGGTCAGGCCAGCAGGATAGCTGCAAGGGTGTCTCTATGTCTGCCTTTTCAAGAGAAACCAAAATGGATCAGGGCATAGGTAAGCAAGTATTTCTCTCTTTCTCACCTGTTGGAGGAATGGGAACGTCTCCTTTCTGGTTCTGTACTCAGTTTCCCTACCGTTTTCAGGGATTGGGTGCCTGATTTGGTGTGTGAGACTGCGAAATTTGTCCAATGCACAATAATCTTTTTTTATTTAAGGTTTAGTTTCAATTAAAGGAAAGCTGATTAATAGTGGAGTTGCCAGCATCTTCCCTGTAGAAGAACTTCATTTGAAATTGAATTGAAATAATAATAATAATAACAATTATTATGACATAGTTTCAATTTGTAAAATCCCAAATGGTGCAAAGGAAGAAGACACACACACACCTTTCTCCCAACTGTTTTAATAGGAGATTTGTGTAGGGGGGATACAATCCAATGAAATTGATGTTTCCGCGCACATAAAAGAAAGTATACCTTACCATCTTTTACTATAACATCCATTGTCATGTGCAGTTTTGAAAGAGGGTGAGAGAAGAGCTGTAGAAAAGAGTTCATTTATGAAATTTGAAAAAAGGAATTTCCCATTTTATAAGCAGATGAGGCCAACTGTCACATGGTGAGGACTTCAAACCTTGGCTTTCTAGGAGAAGCTGTCCCATCACCTAACTGAAAAGAATTGTACAAACATTTATGTTTCTTTGCAACCATAACATCCAAAGCAGGTTACAAGAATAGCAAAACCACATACGACTGCACAGTTCATAGCAATCAAACCACATGTTTGGTAAACTCCAGTAAAAGCATTTCAATGTGAGTGTTGGAAATATAAACTCTGGCTGTGCCTTACTCCTTTCGGTAAATAAACTGCACAAGTTCTCACTTTCTCTCCTGTTTTAAATAGGATTCAACTGGGCTAGGATGTGAAAGGGTGAATTGGAACCCTCTCATTCCAAGCCATCAGAACAGCATGTGAAGCCAACTAGAATGAGCAAATTGACCAAAAGACCTAAAACCCTCTGGTGCCTAAGAGGCTGAGGTGTGAATCAGATTAGCCCCTGCAAAGTTATTATAAGGATTCCTGGATTAATGTGCAGGTAAAGTATACTGAATGGTGTAAGCTCATTTGATGGCTTAAATTTGAATAGACATGTACAGATGGCAGAATTATAATACTCCTGTGTAAATATATGTTCTTTAAAATGGTTAAAGGGCAATGCTCCTTGCCTGGTTGAAAGCTGCTAATGCAAAGATAATGAAACACAATATAAACAAGCCCAACAATGCATCAAAAAACACAAGAATAACAAGCTAGTAGATAAAGCAATCAAAAGGAACGGCTATAAAAACATAAGGAGATCAGTAAGAGCAATATATTTACAATGAAGCAAAGCCACCGTGTTTAACTTTGCAACCCAAACAGCAACTTTTTTCCAACCTCTGTGCTGTGCAAATACCTTTCATCATCCCTATGCAGCAGGCCATTATACTAAATGGTAAAGATGAATTTGTGTGGATTTGTTTTTTTTTTTTAATTACATGGGCACAGCTATGTACTATGTACATAGCAATCATGCAAAAGCTTCATTCAATCCCAATAACCTGAATGAGAGCCTACAATTTGCGGTGACATTCAGCAGGAATTTAAACAGAGTTCTCTCCAATCCTTATCTCACACTTGAATAACTACATTCGCTATTAATTAAATTAGTTCTTCGTATTAGGCATAGTGCGCTAACAACAGCAATTTGTGACAATCTCTTTTTTTAGCAGGTATTCTCATTTCATGATTGATGATTCCCTAAGGAAGCCACAGATCGGACATAGTGGCTCACGCACTTATTTCAGTGGAACCAAACTGATTTTCCTTTATGAGAATGTAATAGTGAAAATGTGTTAGGGTTGCAATGCAAAATCACAATGATCTATAAGAAAACTAATAGGCCAGAAAGGGACTTCTTTCACTGGGCCAGAACGTCTGATTTTTCTAAGCAATCTGCTTAGGAGTTTTCCAGAATTTTCTTGCTTTTTTTGATTCAAATTGCCAATTTCAGTGGGATTTTCCTCAAGTGCAAAACATTGCCAATGATCAGCTGATTTACTGAATTCTATGCCACCTACTTGCAAGTAAACAGGCACCAGTTTCAATATTACAGTAGTCTTGAACAGCAAATCTTAAGTATTTTAATATGTTTCATGTGAATTAATTCAATATATAAGTAGCCTTTTACTGGGATAATCTGAGTTTTAACTAATTTATTATGAAGCTTCAACTAGTTTTAAATCAAAGATAATGTAACTAACCCAAGAATTAGTTCATTCTAATTCTGGACCCATCAACTACATCAACTTTTGGGTAGGTATAGCCAGGTAAGATAGAAAGAAGTTAATTCACAGGCTCTAAGGAAGGAGAAGCCTGCACCATTAAGAAAAAAGAGAGAGAATTTTTGCTGATTATTTAGGGTGGGGCGGTGGGCGAGTGTAGTGTTCATTGGATAAAAATCATGGCACAAAATAGAAGTCTCGCATTTGGATAAATGTCAGATTTAACTCCGTTTAAACCAGACTTTATCAAACAGTGCTTCATAAATCCAGGTTTTCTTCTGGCTGGTGGTGAATTTCATCTATGCAGTCCTTGGTAGAAGCCCATTTACCTTAAGGTCCCTGTTGCATCTATTGGATTGAAGCTATTCATAAAGTGAGCTCTTCAAAAGCTCACGAACGCACCTGACTTGACTGGTACTTTATTCCAGATTCTAAAACAATATTCCAATATTCAGAAGAAAAAAAATGTCTGGTTCTTGCCGATTTTAACAGGACATTCTGGAAGAGTCGGGCCACTGAAAGTCCGCGTCTCACTTCCTACGGAGAATCATCAGGCGCGTGGAAGTCCACAATTGCAACCCGACAAACGTATTTAGGAGAGCGGGATCGCTCCAGGTCACGAGTGGTCAAAGTGGGGCGGATGGTTCTGTAAAGTTGATTTTGCAGAGAGCAAAATAAAAAATAATTATTATAATTATATTTATATATATTTTGGAGTT